CATGAACCATGAAAGTAACTCACGGAAAAGAGCCCAAACTAAACAAACATGGTTAAAAGTGGGGGTTTTATCTTTTTCTTGAACTAAGTAATCTTAACATAATGCAATTTCAATCACATATATAAAGAAGAAAACGATAATTTAACTAATTTTTAACAGATTTACATGATGATAACACTAATATAACATTCATCTTGAAACAAAATCAGATCTAATATGTTCCATCAACCAAACCGGGACCAAATCCTTCTTATTATTATCAAGAATCTGCAATATAAGAATTTGAAAGTTACCTGGTTTGTAGAATAATAAAATACAGCAGTGCAACAACAAAAAACTCGACAGCAAATACAGTAGAAACAACAGTAACTCAAGTGTTAAGACAACCCAGAAAACTCAACAAAGATGCTTGAAACTGGTAGCTATCAACTTCACAAATTGCCTAAGGGATCTTTCTATTTTTCTCGAGGTTTTTGCACTCAAATAATCCTCACAAAACTCTGAAATTTTAGCTTGTTATATGTATTAAGCTGCTGATTTTTCTCAAAGATATATGTCTTTAAGCAACTCTCCAAGATGTGTCTCAGTATAAGATAGAGTGTGTAATAGAGTGTCCCTTTTTTTCAGTCAGTAAAGAGCCCTTTAAATAGGCCAATAAATCAGATTTTTTTGGACAGATTTTGGTTCACCAAAAGTCTGTCCAAAAGACTGACTTTGTGTGCTAAACACTGTTCAAAAGCTGTCAAAAAGTATTGTACTTGTCACCACACAATGACTTTTGAGTTTTGCACTCCAAAGTCTTTGCACAGTAAAAACAACCAAACTTGTACTATTCCTTCTTTAATTTCAGCTTTTATCAACACAAAAATTCAAATACTCAAATCCAATAAAAACAAATTCACTAAGCACTTGAAACTTCTACCATAAACTATCATGACTAAGCAAATAGCTATTTCAAAACTAATGAATAACTAATTACCAGTGATTAATAACTATGAACGACTAAGTAACATATATTAAATACAACTAATAATAAAAATATAAATAATAATAATAATAAAAATAAATAAATAAAAAAAATCAGAAATTATGCTAGACATAAACTAAATACAATACAATTAGAAAAAATAGATAAAGGAAATGAGAATAGGGGTATACCAATTGAGGGTGTTCGGGGTGGTCGCCGGAATTTAGCCGGATTTTTAGTTGCCGGATTTTCGAGATGGAGTTGACATCAATAGGTAGGTCTTGATGAGTTCTATCTGTTGATGTAGGTATTGTGGGGGTGGTAGTGGCCGGAACTTCAAGATTTTGGGCAAAAAAGTGGCGGCTAA